AAAAAAAATAAAAAATTAAGGTTGGTATTAATATTTAAAAATTAAATTGCTATCTTCATTGTTGCTAACTTCGGGTTTAATGTCTTTTATTCTAACTTTTTTGTTTTTTGAGATAAGTGCGTCATGTTTGGACTCATTTTAAAGGTTTTTTAATGAAGATGACAAATATGTCAAAATTGACATTGACGTTTCAACCCGGAAGTGATTGTATCTCCATTAATATCAAAGTTAAATATGTCGAGTTTGGACTCATTTTAAAGCATTTTTTATGAAGATTACGAATATAATAATAAAATTAAAGTTGACATTGACAACTGAAAGTTTTTTTCGTGACTAAACTCAAGAGAGAGTCTCGCAGGTAAGTATTTCCGCAAATATTTTCGTATCTACACGCTGGAATTCCAGTAATGGTATGTTGAAAGTACTTCTTGAAGGTAGACATGGACTTGGTGCATTGTGTCAAAATGTTGTTGATTTAAAACCGTATGCTCTTGAGAACAAAGAATCGATACTGCTAGAAGAAGTGCATAAATTATTAGTCAACTTTCAAATAGTTTCCAAGAAACTCGGAAGAACGCTGTCGAAGAGCAGCTTATTGTTAGTTTTCAGGCTGCTAGAAACCAAATATTAAAGCATTATCGTAAAACTAATCAGATTTATGCTGCAGTTTTAATTCTTGATTTGCGGCATAAGATAGAAGTTGTTGATATGACAAGATGGAGCCAAGAATTAAAAGAGACTTCGATTCAGAAATTGGAAGATGTATATAACGGATATTTCAGGAGCTTCAAAAATATTATTCTATGCCTCGGTGTAATAAAGACACAGATATATTATAATGGTGGAAAATTTAGTCTTCTGAAGAGAGATGTCTTAAGCATACCGGCTATTTCAGTCCCGGCTGAAAGATTATTTTCACGAGCTGCATTAACTATAAGAAAACATCGAAATCGCCTTAATAATAAATCTGCACGATGTTTGTTATGTTATGCCTAAATGATTGGGTGAAAAACAAAATCATTTGCGACCGATGGGGCTGAGGGCTGTAATTCCGACTCTTACATTATAGCAAGTATTTGAGTATTTCTTATTGTACTGAAACAATAAGATTATGCATGACGAGATTTCTATACTTTTGTGAGACTCTCGTACGAGAAATGAGATGAGATGAAAGTGGAGGTTGCGAGACGAGACTTGATACAAGATTTATTAGTTCTTAGGCGAGACGAGACAAGACTTTATGAAGATCTCGTCTTGTTGGTCTCAGGCGAACCACTAATTCTAGTTCTGGGTCTTGTGTTACTTCTAGTGATAGTGCTAGTGTAAAACTAGAACTAACACTAGACAGAACTTTAGGTCTAGTGTTAGTTCTAGTTTTAGTGCAATAAAAATATGCTATCTAGCGCTACCTACCGCTGTCGTTTGTAAAATAAATAAGATGAGAGATGTTAATCTATTTCTAGAGTCTCTGAAGATGGCCAAGGGCCGAAACTAGTTAGACTTAAATTCTATATAAAATAGAAGACATAAACTTCTCATCTATTTTTTCTATTGTAGATTTTCTTGGTGTATCTAAGTGTTGTATCAAGTCGGTTCTCCTTTAAAACAAATAGTATTTTAGGTCTTTCGGTATTCTGCATGAAAATGTCTAAAAACGATAAAATGTCGCTTAGTCAAGTGATGTCCAACTGCAACGTTGTTTATAGGGATTGAATTTGCGTTTCATAATTTAAACGTTTGACCTAATTTTCGTGAATGATCGTACCGAAACTGTCAGCTGTCCTAAAGTTTTATTAAATCGCGTTTAAAGTGTATAGGTATAAAAGTTTGGTGTTTCCATCAAAATTTTGCCGTCGAAAAGTTTCGTTGAAATCTCGTGTTCACTCAAAAAAAAAATTAATGTTTATTAGATTTGCCCCGCTAGGCAATTATTGCTGTGAAGGAATTCACCCCAACATGAAACTACATACATAATTAATGACATTTAATTAAACGTCAAAAATTGACAATTATAAAGTGAGTGTTTTTGATAATAGATGGCGTTTGGTAACTATTAAGATTAATTTTTTAATACGAATTCATTTACTTAATATAATCTAATTCTATTTTAATGAATTATTAAACGACAATTAATTAACACTAATTTTATATCCCGCTTTAAACATTAATTTGACTTTTAAGTAGATTTATACAAAGTCAAATTAGCATTAAAAAAAATTTTAATTAATTTTTTTCTTTTATCATATCAATTAATTGATATCTATTTAATTAATGAGTTTATTTTAATTTTAATTATTCAAAATTTAATTCTTTCTAAATTTTATAATCTATCAAAAAATATTTATTGATTTATTTCAAACGCTAATTTGACATTTAAGTAGATTTGAACAAAGTCAAATTAGCATTTAAAAAAATTTAATTAATTTTTTTCTTTTATTATATTAATTAATTGATATCTATTTAATTATTGAGTTTATTTTAATTTTGATTATTCCAAATTTAATTCTTTCCAAGTTTTATAATCGTTTAAAAAATATTTATTAACTTATTTTAAATACTAATTTGACTTTTTCTTACGTCAAAAATATGTCAAATTAAGCGTCTCTTACAACAGTTAATTAATTAATTTCTAAAACATAAAATAAATCAAGATGATGAATAGAAATCGGAGATAATTTCAACGTTCTTTATAAAATAATCAAAAACAAGGTAATTTATTAAAGTTATTTGACCTGAAAATACTTTTTCTTATTGTTAGATTAATTCATCTTACAATTTACGCAATACTAACCGGGTTTATTTAAATTTTTCGATCTAATTTCCCCATTTTTTACGTTTTTTGTTCTGGAGATCTAATTGCAATGTTGTTCTACTTTGTCTTGTCGTTTATTTTCTCATTTTTTTCTTTTGAGTACTACACTAAGTAATAACGGCTCGTTTTCTACGTAGATTAGAAACCTCATTCAACGTCTTTAGTGGTTTTGATATACATATTAACTACTTTCATCTCCAATTGAAACTAACGACGAGAACTAAATCTTTGTTTTATAATTTTTTTATTTTCCGACAATGATGAAATTGTGGGAAAAGAATTATAATGATCAGTCTCATTGTAATAAAAGAATAGTGTTGAAAGTAAATTTAATGCGAGTTTTTTTTTACTACGAAAGTGAAATAAAGATATCAAAAAATTACTTACAACAAATATTTAATTTTTTTAAAAACATTTTAACACGATTTATTAATTATTTATTCACAAAATTTTTTATTAATCCACTGTTGTTAATTAAATGTTTTAAATTAAATTTGCAGCTTTTTTAAAGAGTGAGATGGTGAGCTTTTCGAACAAACCGAACGCGACTGAAGTAAGGAGGAAACAGGTGAACGTACACACGAAGTACTACTATCAGGAGCGTCATCAGGAGTGGTGGAGCTCCCGTTTGAGGTCTTCTTCCGTTCCAATGTGATGGGGGAGTCGTCAGACCATGACTTTGTTGACGAAAAAGTTGAATAAAAAAGAGTTTTATCGATTAATACAGGAAGTTGAAATAAAAGGTAGGGTTAAAATGTTTATAAATTAATATTTTTTAGGAAGAACATAAACTTATTAAATAAATAAGTATTTAAATTACGAAAAAGAGGAAGATATCTTATGAATTAATAAATGAGGGAAATAATACCATATTATTGTTGTTTTAAATGATATTGTTGAAGCGGCAAGGATGCACATTTTCACCTCTATTATTCGACATATATGCCATAATGCATGACCATAAACCACCTCGTATCGACGGCATACCGTCTGATCTTCTGAAACATGGAAAAAACAAGCTGAAGGATCATATACAGTGTGTTAATTAATTATCGTACCCGACGTCATCATTGCAAGTATGCAAGCAATATCGCAAATCGCATATTGCAATATGCATACTGTGATATTGATTGCATACTTGTAATGATGACGTCGGGTAATTAATTAACACGGTGTGTGTAGGCTGATGGAACTAATCTTGAAACATTTAAAACTTTCAAAAGACTGGAACATAGATATAATCGTGCCTATACATAACAAGGGAGAGCAAACTGTATGTAACAACTACAGGGGAATTACTCTCTTAAATCTGGCATAGGGCAAGCGAATCGACTATAATGAACTCTCGCTAAATGACTTTAAAACAGTTAAAACGACATTTATGATCATGTTACCATAATAAGTGGAAACATAAATCATAATATTTTTACATTGAGACCCTTTATGAGTACAATTCCGCTGGATGTAGGCAAGTTGGCGTATCACGCGTTGGTCCATTCCATGGTAACCTACTGCATTTTGATATGGGGTAATAGCCCTTCTGGCGCACATATTTTCAAACTACAACGACGTGCTGTTCGTGTCTATTCAAAAAGTTCAGCATTCTTACGATTCCTTGTGAGTTTATATTTGAGTCTATACTTCATGCGAACAGCTACAAGTCAGCGTATCAAGTTCAATCTAAGGTGCATGGATACGGGACTAGGGGTAGGCACAACTTCAGGCCAAAATGCTGCTGTTTGAATATGTCACTTGAAGATCTGATTAGTGAACTATACACGTTGAAAGGTGTAGAGGAATTTATGAACATAATGTTACCAGAAATTAAGAGAAGACATATGGCTAATAGAGGTTATTTTGGATTGGGCAAACTATTAACATCAGGAGTAGTAACCAACAAAACTAAGGTACTAATAAACAAAACGTTTATAAGACATGTATGCGTCAGTAACGTGGATGATGACAATTATTAACCTCAAAAACATATTCCATAAGCAATTGTAACACATTGATCAGTTATACCAACTTTATTTGGGTAGAAAGTAAATATTTCTGAAATTGACGTTTTTGGCATAAAAATCTGAGAATGAAATAAGATGGAAGAAAATGTTTCGGACAAAAAATGTTCCTTATCAACTTAAAGACATATTCCATAAATAATTGTATCACATTGATCAGTTATACTAACCTTATTTGCTTAGAAAGTAAATGTTTCTGAAATTGGCGTTTTTGGCATAAAAATTGAATAAAATTTCGAGAATCATAAAAGATGGAAGGAAATGTTTCTGACAAAAAATGTTCGTTATTAATCTCAAAGACTTTTTCATAAACAATTGTAACACATTGATCAGTTATACCAATGTTATTTGGTTAGAAAGTAAATGTTTCTAAAATTGGCGTTTTTGGCATAAAAATCGGATAAAAGTTCGAGAATGAAAAGAGATGGAAAAAAATGTTTCGAACAAAAAATGTTCCTTATCAACCTAAAGACATATTCCATAAATAATTGTAACACATTGATCAGTTATACTAACTTTATTTGGTTAGAAAGTAAATATTTCTGAAATTGACGTTTTTGGCATAAAAATCGGATAAAAAATCTGAGAATGATAAAAGATGGAAGGGAATGTTTCTTACAAAAAATGTTCCTTATTAATCTCAATGACATATTCCATAAACAATTGTAACACATTGATCAGTTATACCAATGTTATTTGGTTAGAAAGTAAATGTTTCTGAAATTGACGTTTTTGGCATAAAAATCGAATAAAATTCCGAGAATGATAAAAGATGGAAGGAAATGTTTCCGACAAAAAATGTTCGTTATTAATCTCAAAGACATATTTTATAAACATTTGTAACAAATTGATCAGTTATACCAACCTCATTTGGTTAGAAAATAAATATTGCTGAAATTGACGTTTTTGGCATAAAAATCGGATAAAAGTCTGAGAATGATAAAGGATGGAAAGAAATGTTTCCGACAAAAAATGTTCGTTATTAATCTCAAAGACATATTTTATAAACATTTGTATCATATTGATCAGTTATACCAATTTTATTTGGTTAGAAAGTATATGTCTCTGAAATTGGCGTTTTTAGCATAAAAATCGGGTAAAAGTCTGAGAATGAAGAGAGATGGAAGAAAATGTTTCGGACAAAAAATGTTCGTTATTAACCTCAAAAACATATTCCATAAGTTATGGTAACACATTGATCAATTATACCAATTTTATTTGGTTAGAAACTGAATATTTTGGAAATTGCCGTTTTTGGCATAAAAATCGGATAAAAGTTCGAGAATGAAAAGAGATGGCAATAAACAATTATACCACACTGATCAGTCATACCAACCGAAACTAGTTAAAAAGCAAATATTTCTAAAATTAACGTTTTTGACATAAAAACTGGATAAAACTCCAAGAATGAAAAGAGATGGAAAAAAATGTTTCGGACAAATAAACAGCAACAGCTCCATATATACAGGGATGTTTAGGAAAAGGAAATATGGAGAAAGCGTTACAATTTTGAGTTGTACCGGCTCTATAAAGAACCGAATATTGTGCAATCCATCAAAATCGATGGGTGGCTCGGCCATCTAGAAAGGATGGATGACAAAGCAAATGTTCCGCCAAATAGTCTTTGGAATCCGTAAGAGAGGCATTTCTAGAAGCAGATATAAGGACTAGGTGGAAGAAAGTCTAAAAATGCTAGGAGTTAGAAACTGGAAGTCCAAGGTACGAAATAAAAGAAAGTGGAAGCTGATTCTAGAACAGGCCAAGACCCACTAGGGGTTGTGGTGCCAATGATGATGTTAACCAAGATGGCGGTACCATGGAGATTCTTATTAATTTCAAATTGACGTTTAAATCTAACCTAAAATATGATTATTTTTTTATTTTAATTCGTTTCCAGGCAATTTTGCACAGAAGATTTGCATATAAGATATGGGGTATACTGCAAGCTTACAGCCTGGGTACGTACTGTATTAATATATGGCATTTAACATTTAAAAACGTGGCTGTTCTTGACGAAGTGCATTCTGGAAGTCCAATTTTGAGCCACTTTTTCGAGCATTGCTGGCCGTATGTCACGAATAACACGAACAATGTTGGTCTCCAAGGTATCAATTGTTGCTGGTTTTCACATTTTCGTTTACAGCGGCGATATTCTCTTCAGCACGCACATTTTTTCGACGTGTTGATGTTATCGCATCATTTAGAGAGTATGTGGTATGAAATCTATCCACAGTTCGACGAATGGCTTGCTCAGATGGACGATTATGTGCACCATACAAATCACGACATACAATTGATGACTGATTTTTAAAGTAAATCTGGATAATTTGGTAGCGTTGTTCAAGCATCAATCGGTTCATGATGACTTGCCAGAGTATACTTTTCATAAATATCAAAAAGTGAGTGCAGTATCACAGTTAACCCTTTCGTAAGTTCTATCTGACTTAAAAAAACACCCTCTATTTGTTGACAATAAGTCGGCTCGAGTTAATGACTGTAAAAGAACTTTAAACACACTGAGTTGTGATAACAGAGTTTTTGTAATCTGGGTCCCAGGTCACTTTGGGGTTGTTGGCAATGAAACGGCAGATGAGATAACAGGAGAAGGCAGCGCTAAAGCGTTTGTGGGGCCAGAGCCAGCAATTAGTATATTATTTTCGATGGCCAATCATAGGATTAGACTGTGGGCTGCAGAGATACTTCGCCTATTGTGGACTAGTTATGGAATGAGACACGCTATGTTGTTTATCAACATCGCGCCCTTGCTTGTAGCAGCCTTGCGTAAGACATGGAGTAATCAGCTTGAGCTAAGAGGTAAGTAATACACCACGCTTTTAATATTTACTTAAAATATCAAACAGGTATCTTTTATCAGAGATTATTGACTTTAGTAACCAAAGTAAACCTTGCCCAACATTCCTGGTATATAGACATTACGCTATTATTGATTTATTTTGAGGGGAAAACGAATAAAACAATAATAAATGGGTATCAACAGTATATTTTTATTTTTAAATCTTTGGTTTTTTAAATATATCCATATATATATAATTAATATTTTATGTATAAATTAAAACAGGAAATGTACAAATAGAAATTCAATATAAAAAGGAACAAAGAAACAAAAAATACAACATAGAAACGTAGATGTGGAGAAATAAAAATTGATATCTCATTTTATTTAGGGGATTCACCTTCACGTTTCGTTTTTTTTTAATTAATAATTAATTGTCATCGTATCTTGTTGCACTTTTTATTATTACATTTTTTTTTTTTTGATTTATCGTTTTGATTACCAAAAATAACACATCACTATTACGAGGCAAAAAACTTTAGAATCTTACGTTCGCTTAAATCTTTAAATCCTTGTTGGTTTTTTTTTTAATATTAATAATTGAGTCGTAAATCTTTCGCATGCTAAGAATCTATCTAATTACTTTTTTTTTTAATTTTATTTTGTTAATAGTTTTCGAAAACCTAATAAGTATTTACTTGCAGATTTTTTTTTGACCTCGATAATCCCTAAGCTCTAATAGTTTATGTATATTTTAGACCTTAAGTTTCAAATGTTTAAAAAGAAAAAATTTTTGATATCATTCAAAAAAATGGAATATTTTTTACCAAGAAATTAATAACACTACATCTATCACAAGTAAGTGTTTTTTTACACTAAAATCTATGCCTCTATGTTTGTTTTTTTACGGAGGAATTAGGAATAATCGAGTTGGTTGTCGTTTTGTTTTTCTGGAAGCTGATTCAGTTCAATTCAAAAAATTAACTAAAACTAAGAAATTCCTTTCAAAAACGTGTTTCTTAACATTTTTTGCTTGAAATCTTTAGTTGTTTTCAATTCGTTTTTCGTGAAATACAGTCTTCTTTATTTTTCGCCCTGGATACGATTATACAAACAGGGCCACGAACTATTCGTAACAAATCTATTATTTCGGACGTCGTCATGTTTTCGACACTTTCATCGTTTACCTACATATAAATCATTAAATGATTTTTTTTATTAATTTATGATTTTATTTAAAATGACTTACTTTAATCAGTCGATCTCCTGGTTTAATTCTCCCATCTCTAGCGGCCACACTATCAGCATGAACTGCACTTACATATGTTACACCAGCTGCTCCTTGTAAACTAAAACCTAATCGACTATTCCAACCTCGATTTAATTCAATGGCAAGTATCTGCAATTAAAAAATTAAGGTATAATTCAAGAATCATCACTCAAATAAGCCGTTACAAATAAAAAAAAAGTGCGGAAAAGTGTAAAACTCTTTAACTTATTGGTTCCTGAATGCTAGATACTGTTGGCAAAAGACTAATTATTGCTACTAGAAGATGATAGCTTGGAAAGAGGAAATACTATTTCGAAAAGTTACTTACTGCTTCTAATATGCTTCTAGATACTGCAGAAAAAGACCACAACTTACTTGGAAAAGACTAGATACTGTTTTCAAAATAATACTTATTGCTTGCAGAACGTTACATACTGCTGTTAAAGGTTTGGACTTACTTGGACAGGCAGAATATTGCTTCCAAGACTACTTAGTTGATACTGGTGGAAAAGATTACAAACTGCTTGGAGAAGACTAGATAGTGCTAAGAAACAACTACAAACTGATTGGAAAGACGAGATACCGCTTCCATAAGACTATTTAGTGCTTTCAGAGCGCTATATATTACTAAAAAAGATTACAACCTGCTTGAAGAAGACTAAATACTGCTGCGAGAAACTATTATCTGCTTGGAAAGACAAGATACTGTTTCAAAAAGACTATTAACTACTTTTAGAATGCAAAATATTGTTAAAAAGACTACTAATTTCTTGGAGAAAGCTAGATATTGTTGACAAAGACTATTTAATGTTTTTAGAAGACTATATTCTGCTGCTAAAATACTACTAAGTGCTTGGAAAAAGAAAATACTATTTTAAAAAGTTACCTACTGCTTCTAAAATTCTAGATACTGCACAAAAAGACCACAACTTACTTGGAAAAGACTAGATACTGTTTTCAAAATAATACCTATTGCTTCCAAAACGCTAAACACTGCTGTTAAAGGTTTTGACCTACTTGTACAGGCGGAATACTGCTTCCAAGATTACGTATTGCTTTCAAAGACTTTAATAATTGCTTGGAAAGAAGAGATATGCTTTCAAAAAACCTACCTACTGCTTCCAGAATGTTAGATACTACTGGAAAAGACTAATAACTGCTTGGAAAGAAGAGATATGCTTTCCAAAAAAGCTACCTACAGCTTCCAAAATGCAAGGTACTAGTGGAAAAGATTACAATCTGCTTGGAGAAGACTAGATAGTGCTAATAAACAACTACAAACTGATTGGAAAGACGAGGTACTGCTTCCATAAGACTATTTAGTGCTTTCAGAGCGCTATATACTACTAGAAAAGATTACAACCTGCTTGGAGAAGACTAAATACTGCTGGGAGAAACTATTATCTGCTTGGAAAGATAAGACACTGATTTCAACTAAGACTATTAACTACTTTCAGAATGCTGAATATTGTTGGAAAGACTACTAATTGCTTGGAGAAAGCTAGATATTGTTGGCAAAGACTATTTAATGCTTTCAGACGACTATACAGTGTTTCCCCGGATAGGTGAAACGACTCTTATAAAATGTAAATTTTTTTCGATATTAATTGTCATCTTTTGGGGTTCAGCCCTGCTTAGTTAAAGACTAATTTTAAACATATTTTCAAGTTTTAAAAGTTTAAGTGAGTGTTGACACTGAAGCGAAAACTTTTTGTGTGTCAGGTAAAGTACTTTTTCTGTTTACGGTATGGTAAAATGTTACTAAAAAATTTTATTCAGAATAAAAAGTTATGGCCATATGCAAATTTTCGGAATCATCGGCCTACTTTATAAGATTAGATACTTTTTCAAGATTTTTTGTTTTGAGATTCAAATTGTTCGGGAGAAATAAACAAACCGTTGTTAAAATGTTCACAAAAAATTAATTGTGTTTTCGCCCACAAAAGAAAATAGTTAGTCATTATTAAGAGTTTACAAAATTACAGTTTGGCAGATTAAAGCAATTTTGTTTTTCCATGGCAGTCTTTTTAGAAAGAAAATTGATTAATATGGATTTTTATCAAAGTAGGCCGATCATTCCGAAAATGCATATGGGCATAGTTTTTCATTCTGAACAAAACTTCTTAGTAACACTTTCACGTACTGTAAACAGAAAAGGTACTTTACCTGCTACAAAAAAAGTTTTTCTTTCACTGTCAAGACTCATTTGTTTTTTAAAAGTTGAAAATATGTTCAAAATTAGTCTTTCATCAAGCAGGGCTAAACCCAAAAAAATTAAAATTAATATCGAAAAAAATTTACCTTTTATAAGAGTCGTTTCACCTATCCGGGGACACACTGTATATTGCTACTAAAATACTACTAAGTGCGTGGAGATTACAATACTACTGGCTGAAAACCATTTACTGAAAGTATTCTTCTGTTGAGGCATATCTTTTTGTGTCCTTTCCATTAAAGTATTAAAAATTGCTGCTACAAAGATCGATGCGACATATCTTTCTTATCTTTAAACGTTACATTGGGAAACACCTAATTTACTGATTTATTTCAGAATTTTTTTTTCTAATGCAACCATATGATTTGATATGTTCATCGCGTAGAGGGATGTATCTTCTATTAAAATGTGCAAAAAAAACATACGCATCCCATTTAAAATAACAATGTTGGTTGCCATAGCAACAAAACGAAAGACAATGTAAATAAGCAAATATCGCCAAAAAATGCGCCACAACTAATAAAGCATTTTTTATTTGAAACATTTTTCTTTAAAACCACAAATGGCGAAGTTGTTGGCTATATTCCAGACATTTGACACCCTGTATAATTAATAATTATTTATCAATACAAAATTAATGTGTTTTGTTTTGGTTATTATTTTCTGTTTTTCCAGTTTATAATAATGTAAATTCTTGCGTAAGTATACAAGGTGTTCCGGTAACACGGGGCATAAAATTAACCTCATATACTAGAGCGAAAATGATGACAATTCGTGAAAAAAAAAATTATTATAATAGTCTTCAAATGGCCAAATTTTAACACATTTTTCTAAATATTTTCAATACCATTTATGGTAGAGCGTTGAAATTTGGTAGAGGGTAAACAAATATCAAGCAAAATCGTTGAACCAATTTTGACTTTGATCGGGCAGCGGCAACCATGCTATACAGGTGTTCCTAAAATTTGTTTGCCCAGAACTTTTTTGTTCGCTCGTAACCCTACATTTATTTTTGTACAGGGTGGTTCAAATTCGATGTCCGAATAGGCTAACTCGGAAACTATAAGAGTTAGAAAAAAAGTAGCTTACATGTCATGATCTCGTTTTTCGAGAAACTGCTAATGCCGAAAACCTCATAGCGCTATCATCTTTTGTTTTTCCCCTAGAGGCCAAAATTGAAAATGTAGTAAAACCAATAAGTGCAATTATCTTGGTTATTATTATAGGTGGAGTATTATAACTACGACATTATATGGACACTTTTTTACAGAGAATTTCATGACGTAGTCAAAAAAAATTTTTCGGTTTTAGATTTTGAGATATCATGAGAATTTTCGTTTTTTTAAATGGTAACAACCACTGATTATTCGCTTATTAAATTCGTTATTTTTTTCTGATTACAAAAATATAGGGTTCGACAGGTCTATTTCTTATTGTTTTAGAATAAAGCTAAAAATAAACTTTTTTTATAAAATTTCCATCTAGTGTCGTCGAGGAAATTAAATTTACAGTTTCCTGTAAGTTACGGGGCGGTAGGTAAAATCTAAAAAGTTAACAATTAAATACGAAGATAACTTCTGGTATTTAAAAACAAATAATTTTTTAATATGTAACATTCTAACATGTCAAACTTTTCAAAATTTTCGTAATTGATCTTAAAAACAGGATTTTTAAAGTGACACTTCAGAAAATTTTTGAATACAAACAAATGTTGCTATGTTTATTTGAATTAAAAAAAAACATATGAGCGCCATCTATCGATAATTTATTAAGTCATTTAAAAATAATATTAAATCGTAATAAAAAATGTGAAATAATGCAATCTATTCCAACTTTTGTGTAAAACATATATAAATTAAACAGTTCAACAAATATATTTGTTTCAAATATCAGAAATATGTTTTTTTAATTTTTAGTTATAGAACCGTAATTTACAGGAAACTGTAAATTTAATTTCTTCGACGACACTAAAAGAAAAGTTTATTTTTAGTTTTATTCTAAAACAATAAGAAATAGACCTGTCAAACCCTATATTTTTGTAATCAGAAAAAAATAACGAATTTATTAAGCGAATAATCAGTGGTTGTTTCCATTTAAAAAAACGAAAATTGTGATAATATCTCAAAATCTAAAACCGACAAAATTTTTTTGACTACGTCATCAAATTCTCTGTAAAAAAGTGTCCATATAATGTCTTAGTTATAATACTCCACCTATAATAATAACCAAGATAATTACATTTGCGGGTTTTACGATATTTTCAATTTTGGCCTCTAGCGGAAAAACAAAAGACGATAGCGCTATGAGGTTTTCGGCATTAGCAGTTTCTCGAAAAACGAGATCATGACATGTCAGCTACTTTTCTTCTAACTCTTATAGTTTTCGAGTTAGCCTATTCGGACATTGAATTTGAACCACCCTGTACTTTCTAATAGAAAATTTATTTTAGAAACTTTAATCACTCTTTGAAAATTTTGATAATATTGACCGTTTTCGAGTTATACGCGAAAATATTAAGTTTGAAGACTTTCATAATAATTTTTTTTCACAAATTGTCATCATTTTTGCACTAGTATATGAGGTTAATTTTATGCCCAGAGTCACCGGAACACCCTGTATAAGACCTCAATGTTCTAGGTTTAGTGTTAGTTTTACTTTTACACTAGCACTATCGAAAATCACATAATCGGCGTTATGTCGTAAACGGCTGGGAGGATTTCATTATGTTAAATAATTGCGTTTATCGAGCGAATTATAAATTTAAAAAAACGGAAAAGATTATGCGTTCCAGACAGTACGTAGCGCCTTCATGTTAACTACATAAAGAAATAAAGGCGCGACGTCCTATCTCTGGAACACACGCCAGGACTATATTTTATGATGTTATTGGTTAAATTTTTTCAAAACTTTCCTGATGTAGGGGTATAAAAATTTTACGTTATCGTAAAGAGAAACGAAATCTCTATTTAAAAAAATTCAAGTGTTATTCGTTACTCATTCTTTTTCTGAATTGAAAACAATTGAATGCTGTCTTATTATGGCAAATAAAATATTAAACAACTTTTGTATAAAAAGTTTTTTTATAAAGTCAATATTTACCGAGACATATGCTATAATCCATACATAATGGGCACCCTGTATGTATATTATATTATTTATCCAATAACGTTACCTTTCCTACCTAACCCGTCAACGTCATTTGTTCGAGTTGGATAACCACGGACTTTAATAATCTGTTCCAAAACAAAAATTAATTAATAAAAAAATTAGTTTATGTTATGATTTCGCGAAATTTTGGTGTCACTCAAAAGATGGCGCTGTTACAAAAATAAAACTAAAGTCCCTAGATTATTAAAGTACCGCGGTTTACCGCCATTTTAACTCAAAAATCAAGCGGGAAATTTAAAACTATGTCCTTCTGTTGATCAAATTACGCCAAATTTCCTTTCTTTTTTTTTTCGTGGTACTCTGAAGAGTTGAAAGCCCTTCTTACTGCAATTTTTGCAACTCCAAAAGCAACAAGACGGCAATATTTTTGTAAATAAGTTTTGACACTTATTGCAATTTTTGCTACTGGTAGTTTTGGTACTTTGATAATCTTTAAATTCGGACTTTAAATAAAACAATCTAAAAAAACTAATTTTACCTCATAATCATTCTCGCCTTTCCTATAACCTTCTTTTTTCAGCACTTTTTGTCGTTCTCTTTCTTCATCGGCCGTAAAAACAACACCTTTCCACTTCTTCATATTTGTATTACCATCATCGTTTCCTTTATTAACACATTTCCCTGCATTAATTCCCGTATTATTTTCAAAATTTTCAGTTCCACACGGCGGATGAGCGGATTGATAAGCCGGATTTTTGTAACTAAATCCTGGATTGTCGCTAGCTGGAATATGGGGCATTGAAGCGGGTTCCTGCGGGAAACTATCCCCGCATTCAACTTCCGTCGAAGTACCTTCTTCGCCGATATTATAATTCAAATTAGGTGCGTCTAAAATTTCCGCATCCAAATTATTCAATTCGTAAGCATTATGAGCTAATGAGAAATTAAATTTTGGTTTTCTAGAAGCGACGGGAGTTTGATTTGGGTTGTAGAGATCTAAAGAGCTGGGTCTTGATGGTTGTTTATCGCTGTCGTCGTCTTCGAGGAATAAGGAGTTAAAAGAATCTTCGTCTAAAGGTAACGAACATTTTTTTAGTAACCCCTCATGAAAAACTTCGTCGATTATTAAATGTCTTGAGGATGAATCGGAATTATTCGAAGCATCCGATGGGCAAGGTTCGCGTCTTCGTAAACGTTGTCTTGGTGATGTGCTTGGTGATAAAGATCTTCGATATTGTTGTTCTTGTTGGTTATTACCTGGGATTAGTTTTCTTACAGCGATGTCGTTTAACATATCAACGGCTTCTTGGCGGAGTTGGGTTTTTTTCGAAAATGATGTTCTTGGAGTAGTTTCGGTCGGGGATAAAGTTGCTACGGGAGTTTGAGCTAGATCTCGGTATAATCTTAATTTTACTAATTCACCGGATTGCCGAAGGAATTGCACCGCTTCTTCGTGAGTCATTGATGATATCTCTACCTCGTTTACCTATTTAAAAAGATTTTTTTTTTGTGTAAGTTTTGTAAAGAAACGAGTAAAGAGAAACTTGATTAGTCATTTCCGATTTGAATTGGATACATCACTTGACTAAGCGACATTTTATCGTTTTTTGAGATTAATTATAAAAGTTTGAAATCTTTAGGGGAATGAAGATTCATTTTTCCTTATTATCTTAAAAAAATCGTTTATTAATAAGTTTTTTTCTAAAAAATAAATTAAATCCTCAAAAATTTTAAAGTGATAGATAAAAGTTAGGTTATGTTTTCGTCTCTTCTTCAATTTCGGGGAAAGATCACTTCTTAGAGTCAATGAAGTAAATGACTTGCCTGAATTCTCGTTTAAGCTCCACAGCCTTTTGGTAAAGACGTGTTTTTGAATTTTCTCCTACGGAATATTTAGTATACGCAGAAGAGCCATTAGAAATATCCTCGACTCTTCTTTCAGTTGTCAATGTCAACTGTAATTTTATGATTATATTCGTAATATTCATAAAATCACCTTGAAAGTGAG